CATTGAACAGAACATAGCCAAATGGCTTCAACAAAACTGGATCCAAAACCTCCTCCAAACATATCAAAATATACTATGAAGTACAACATTCAAATATATGCAATACAATGACAAACCTCTTCATTGGTACACTAGTCCAGAAGTATCCAAAACAAAAAACTTCAAATGTAAACTTATGATAAAAGAACTTCTAAACCTAACTAACCTCCATACGAGATACCCTCATATTCACACAAACTCAATTTGCAGATATTGCTGACAAGCACCAGAAGATGACAACTATTAGATTACTTGTACAACCAACCCCACCACTATTATCTCAATTATTAACCTAACTATTGATTATATAGTATCAAAACATAATGTAATTATCACTAACTGTAATTCTTTTATTCAAGCCTTTTTTAAAACTTACCTCAATGACAACCTACTAATTAGATTTATTACTATCTTAACGATCCCACCATTTCAACTACCCAGTCAGGCCACACAACTCGCACCTGAATTCTACAACAAACTAATCACTGAAATAAGAGAGAAGATTTGGATACCTAGTCAGTTCACAACATCATCCTACAATCTAACACAAACCAATTTACCCAACTTAACTATTACTACCAGCCCAAACACCAACCACCTCCCAAATACAAATAACCAATACATATATAACCGCTGGTTACTAAATTACATATACCTTAATACCTCATCTCACTCCTGCCTAAATTTATAGTCTAGAGGTTCTTTGACCTACCTAGCTAAGGTTCAGGTCTGAAGTAAATTAGCTTAATCTTCACTTTCCCTAAAAATTTATATAAACAAATTATATTAACTTTGCATAATAAATAATAAAGGAGGGAGTAGCAGTGATCTTTGATGGTTTTACAGGAAGACTGAATTTGGAACCAGAAACTGAGACCGGAGAACTGAGCGACCAGGTTTTTAAGTGGGGGAACACACTAGCCAAACTGCCAGGTCACCAACTAAAGAAAAAGGACATGTGCTCTGGAAGCATGTACCAAGGGAAGGGAGACCATAAGCCTGGGCAGACCAACCCTTACAGGTTGCTGGCTGGAAGTAAGGGAGGGACCAGTAAGGAATCCGGGAAAGAAGAAGATTCGAATATGGGTACCAGGGTTGTTGTAAACCTTGCAAGAGCAAAAGTAAGTAACAGGGAACTAAATTAGGAAGGCTGTAGCTTGAGATATGGACCGGGTTGCAGTAGCATCCAAAGATGGCTTGAGATACGAACTGGGTGATGGCAGCACAGCATGTACTAGTTAAGGGAAATATTACCGAACATGCAGATGAGCACATGTATGGGACATGTACCATTCTGTTTGGTTTACCACAAGGATAAATGCCCCCATTCCAAAAGGAATAAGTTTTGGTTTGGCTAAAGTCTTAGGGTCTTTAATGGTAAATTACCCTGAAAGGGTATATTAGGAGGAAGCATGGGACAGA